TTCCTCCAGCGCTTTTAATTCTCTGTCCATGGCTTCACGCCATTTTTCCCTGTGCTCCCCCCCAGAGCCTGCTGAACCGTCGCAGGCTCTTTAGGAATGGCGGGACCGTGGACTGCGGTGACGAGTCCGAGTATCTGAAGTCCACTCTGTGAGTAGCGGGGGAGTGTGGTGTCCTCGGGATAAACAGCTTCGTCTCCTGTTTCAGGTGTTGGATTGAAATTCGGTCCTACTCGTTCTGCTTCGTTGGTGTTGACCCGTGCAGGTGTAACGTAACCGTTGTCGGCGAATTCGTAGAAGACTTCGGCGTTGATGCTTTCGCGAGGATTTTCGTCGTCCATTGGGATGTCCACGGAGCAGTAAGGGAGAGGTCCGGCTGCTTCCGAGGCTCCTTCCACGTTCTGCTCGTCCCAGTCTGCTTTGTCTTCTGCCGAGGCGAAGGCTCGGTTCCCATGAAATCCGCCCGAGAGGTCAGGTCTGTTTTCTTCGATGTACATGAGGTGAGTTCCGAGGGTGAGGTGTTCGTAGAAAACGACATCACGTGCTGCTACTGTTTCCTTGCTGTTGATGTCGAAGATTTTCCACGCGTTGTAGTGTTTTTCGATGCCCAGGTGTAGTCCCCACTGTGCGCGTTGAGAGAATCGCCCAGCTCGTGCAGATGGAGGTCGGTACTGTACCATGCAGCCGAAGACTCTCAACATTTTTGTGCTGCCCAATTTTCCTGTCCACAGCAGATGCGGTGATGCGTTGTTTGGGAGCGATGATGACGAAAGCAAGTTGTGCAGCATCACGGCGTGGTCCATTGCTTCGGGCCACTGGTGGTTGGGCAGGTGCATGCCACGTAGCAGCTTGCGCATGGTGGCTTGGAGCGTCCTGTTCATCCTTTCTGCTACGCCTTGCTGTTGGTGAGCGTAGGGAAGGGAGATGAGCCTCTTGATTCCTCTTTCTGCCAAGTACTGCTTGAACCTCTGTGAGGTGTATTCTCCTCCCCCGTCTGACTGGAAGCTTTTTAGCTTAGCTCCCGATTCTCGTTCTGCGACTGGAAGCCAGGCGACAAAGGCTTCGAAAGCCATGTCGCGACTTGGAAGGTTTAGGTGCCAGACATATCGAGTTGCGGCGTCGATGAAGGTGATGGTGTAACTGTAGGCGTTTTGTCCGGGTTCACGGTTGTATAAGATGTCGCTGTACACCTTTTCGAGAGGTGTGTACGCAGGTGCGCTTGGATTGTGATGTGAGACGAACGGCTGATGCGGTAAGTCAGCTTCAGGGCAAGTGAAGCACGTTCCACGGGCTCGTTGAAGTTCTCTGCCGTCGGTCAGTAGAAGTGAGTCTTTGTCGAGCACTCCTGCTCTTATCGTGTTGTTTAACACTGTGTTGCTTGGATGTCCCATTCTTGCGTGCCAGGTACCTTCAGTGGCGCGATGTCCGGGTGATCTCCGATACAGATCAGAGTTGGAGTAGAAGCCGGCGGTGACGTTTGTGCTTCGGTGGACTTCGCGTGGTGCTGGATTGAGTTGTTGTGCGGGTGTCGGTGGTGAATCGTCGATGGAGATCGGTGTCGTTGAAGGGCCAGCTATTGGTGTTGATATTGCCGCTGCTATTGTTGTTGTCTCTGCTGCTCCCGATGTTGTTTCTGCTGCTGCCGATGTTGTTGCTGCTACTGCCGGTGTTGTTGCTGCTGCTGCCGATGTTGTTGCTGCTGCTGCCGTCGTTGCTTGAATTGTCGCTAACGCTCTTGTTCGTTCTGTTTCAGGGATCGTGTGAGAGTGCCAGAAGCCGCCGGGGCTGAAGTCTGGGTTAAGGTCTGGAGGATGTGTCCAAGGAGCAAAGCTGACGATGCCGTCGCTGTCAGCGGTGCCAAGGTCTGGTACGAAATCAAGAACGAAGACGTTGTTCTTGAGGATCGCCTTTCCGATGTAGAGGCCGCCCTTTCCGTGGTACAGTTTGAACTCCTGGGTGGTGCTGTCTGCTTCGAGGTGAATGCCTTTCGCCATCAACTGACTGACGCTCAGTAAGTTATAGCCGAGACCTTCTGCGATTAAGACCTTGGTCATTTGTAGAATGACACTTGTTTCTCGTGACTGAAGTTGTACCACGCCTTGTCGTCGTGTGCGCAGGTTCTGATTGTTGGCGACGGTGATGACTACTTCACGTTGGAGTTGATACTCTCGTTGTACGAAGCGTCCTGAAGAGCACATGTGCTGTCCGCAGCAACTGTCCAAGAACCATGTGTCCTTCCCGGATGGTTCACTCTGGGCGATGGCGGCGTATGTCGGGTTTGGCTGCAGTGACTCGCGGCGGGGTGTGCTGTTGTCGAGCTGTTCTTCCGGTGAGTAGTGTGGTGGTGATTCAGTGACGCGGGTCAGTCTTGCCATGCAACTGACGATGTTCCTTGCTCCTTGTGCAGGTTGTTCGGCAGGTGGTGTTGAGGCTTGAATCTGGGTCGTGGGGTTCGCTTGTGTTGAGGCAACTTGGCTGCTTGAGGGTCGAAGCTGTCGCTGTGGTGGCGTTGGCTGTTGTCGATTTGGGCAGTGCGTGCGTGGGTGCCCAGACGTCTTGCAGATGTGACAGAACGGAGGTACGGGTTTTGGTTGTTGTCGGTTGCTGTTGTTGTTGTATCGTCGCTGAGTGTGAAACGCGAATTCCGGTACTGATGTCTTTCTCTTGTGTCGTTCTTCTTGCAGGTCCATGTCTTGCTGCTCGGCGTGAATTTCGGCGCAGAGCGCTGCTTCGGAGATTCTTCCGTGGGCTCGGAGGATGGCCTTTGTTGCGCGCCATTGAGGACCGAGGCCGCCGATGATGACTGTCACGAAGGCGTCTTCAGAGATTGACCCTCCGCATCGAAGAAGCTTGTCGCGCAGTTCGCGACATCGGCTGATATATGCCATCCCTTTTTCGCCTGGTTTCATTTCGACCGTTGTCAGTTGCGCCATTAGCCGACTTTGACTGACGCTATCTGTTGCTTGATACAGGTCCTTCAGGTGCTTGTACGCGAGTTCCGCGGAGTTGCCGAATCCCCGGTAAGACCGTATGTTCTGCTGCTGAGTTGGGGTGATATTTCTCAGTAGGATCGTATACGCCATCATCGACTGATATGTGTACTGCTGCTTCTCATACTGTGTGCCGTTTGTTGGGTATGGCACAGACCCGTCGAAGAAGCCAAGTATCTGCGCGCCTTCCATCATCAACTCGAATTCGAACGACCAGGTAAAGAAGTCTTTTCCGTCGAAGGGCCTTGACGTCTGCAGCTTTAAGACGTGCGCGAATTGCGACTGAACTTGTAGTGCATCCAGTTGTTTTTCTTGTCCAGATGGAGCTTGCGGGTGCGGCATGAAGCTGATGGACCCGCGTTCATACGGAGCAAAGGTAGGTTGTTGCTGATTTCCGCGCGCATATGATGAGCCATCAAGACTCATTGGAGTCACGTTGTTGTTGTTGCTGTTGTTTGACTGCGCAGGTGCCGACTGCTGGTGTTGCTCGTAAAACGACATGAAGGAGAAAAACTTCTCCATCATACTCTGGTAGAACAATTGTAATAGCGGAAGCGTTTAATGAAACCGAAATATAAAATAGTGAACCCTGTCCCATCTTGAAAGTGGCTGCCGAAAACGGGCCGTTCGAGCACTGTTTCAAACAAAACGAAAAGCACCATGAATAAATGTGATTGGCTGTCGCCAATCTTTGATTCTTCATGTTCCTCCCTCCCCTCGCAATCGCGCTCACGTTCCTCCCTCCCCTCGCCATCGCGCTCACGTTCCTCCCCTCCCCTCGCCATTGCGCTCACGTTCCTCCCCTCCCCTCGCCATCGCGCTACGTTCCTCCCCTCCCTTGCCATCGCGCTCACGGTCCTCCCCTCCCCTCCCATCCCGTCGTTCGCCTCCTCTCCCCTCCCATCCCGTCGTTCGCCTCCTCTCCCCTCCCATCCCGTCGTTCGCCTCCTCTCCCCTCCCATCTCGTCGTTCGCCTCCTCTCCCCTCCCATCCCGTCGTTCGCCTCCTCTCTTCTCTTTCTTCCCTTCGCTCCTCCGCTCTCCCCTCGCTGGCCGTTGTTCCTCTCTCTCTCCCCATCGATATCATTCTATCCCCCTCGTCCTACACTGTCCCTATTTTTAACCTCTCTCAGCCTCAAGTCCAAGGTCTCGCCGTTTCTCGCAGCTCTGCCAGGTCGTCGGCCCACCTTGGCATATGTGTGTGCTCTGGATTCTGTGTTGTTGATTGATGTTCGGTTTTGTGAAGTTCGATGACTGCTCGAGTGAATACAGGCATTGAAACCTTGCGCCAAATTCGCAGAGAAGTATGTGTGCATTGTGTGTGAGTTTCGCTGCCAATCAGAATTGTGCACTCTTCCAAGTGTTCCCCGTTCACAGCGAGACTCGTCAGGAGTGAAAAAATAAACATGCACAGCACTTCATTGGTTCCGAAACTGTTCCAAAAAAACTTCAGTTTTCAAGTGGACCCAACTAGAAGGGGGGGGTCACTATTTTAGCTGCTGGCTTTAATGAAGAGTTGTGAACCACCTTGCGCTGGTATGTGAGGGCAAAGTAAGTTGATTAAAGCAAAGAGATACAAGCATTTATATATGAGTACAAGGAATATGAAAGGATACAGTTATAACTACTTTACTGTTGCTGTTGCGGTTCGATACAGTGACGACTCGGGCAACTGCTCTGTAGCGAGTCAGTTGTGTGTCCTTGCTGTCGTACTGTACTTGTCAGGTCAAAGGTCGCTGACCTTTGACTTTCGCGTAACCTCCGGCAACCTCTTTCAACCTCCGAGGGTTGACTCGCGTGTGCCTCGATATGGTTCGCTTCGCTTCTGGTGTGATGTTTCGACACGGCAGAGTCGCTTTAGGATTTACTGTTTCCAACAGCACCAAGCAGGCAACACGTGGCCACTGAACGTGTCAGCGTTACAGCACCACACAATCACAAGAAGGAATAGCTGCTAAGTTACAAAAAAAAGAGATTGTAGAACAAGGCCAGACCCACAACAACAGAGTAGACTCTACGTGTACAATCTCCGAGCTCTCTCCAGTGTGACATCCACCAATTGGAAGAGCTCCGGATGCTCTGACTCCACCTGCTCCATTGACATTGCTTCATGTGCTTCCGCCTGCACAAGAGAGCAAGTTGGACAGCGGGACAGTGCAGGGTGAGGGGTTTGACGCTTGCGCTGATTCTGTACCAGCAGTCAAGGAATCTGGACATATTTCTCAAACAGAGTCCAAGACACCTCACCAAGAGAGAAACCGTGGCATCAGCGATGGGTTACATGCGTACCTCGTCAAATGTGAAGAGAATGAGATTGTCAATCGTGGGAGGGAGTGCCGCGTTCCATCTGCCACACGCCACCACACAAGGCAAGAAAGTCGGCGGCATTCCAACCACGTCACGTTCCAGGAATCTCAAGTCAAGTGGAACAAACAGGTTTGGAAACTTGTATGGGCAGGGAAGTAACAGTGTCAAGGAGGAAAGCATTTCTGAGATCACCTGGTGAGAGTCATATGTCCCATAGACCTCCAGATGGCGCGCCCAATATCCACCCCTCCTCCTCCTCTCCTTCCACCACCACTTCCCTTTCCACCTGCGATAGCTTTTGTGGCCCGTTTTCTCCTCTCCCCCTTCTTCCCCTGCCGCCGCTTCTGGTCTGTCTCCTCCCCCTTCACTCCCTCGCCGCGGACCCCATTCTCGGACCCCTCCTCCCCTTCCCTCTGCTCCTCTTGTTGCTCCACACCCAGAGTTCTTTCTCCAAAATGCTGTTCTTGAACACCCCTTTCCTCCGCCTGCTCTCCCATGTTCTCCCCCTTTTCCTGTTCTCTCTTCTGGCCCCCCTCCTCCTCCGTCTCAACTGCTTGCTGTGACTCTTCACCCCCTCCCAGCCCTGAACGGCTGTGAAGAAGCTTCTCGGCAGCTTCCTTCTCTCGGAGAAGCTGCCATGCGCTGCGGCCCCTCCACACCTCCCTCACCACAAACATGACGTCATCCATGTCCACCTGCACATGCATGGACAGGGATTCGGATTCGGACGCATGCATGTGGAAGGGGTAGAAGCATGACGTCATCCATGTCCACCTGCACATGCAAGGACACGAATAGGGATTTAGGCACATTCACCCATGCACATGCGCCCATGCACATGCGCCCATGCACCTGCGCCCATTCACATGCGCCCATTCACATGCGCCCATGCACATTCACCCATGCACATGCGCCCATGCACATGCGCCCATGCACCTGCGCCCATGCACATGCGCCCATGCACATGCGCCCATGCACATGCGCCCATGCACCTGCGCCCATTCACATGCGCCCATTCACATGCGCCCATTCACATGCGCCCATGCACCTCCTACTCTCCACCAACCCCTAAAAAACAGAGAGAATGGCAACACTCAGCCTCTCCCTCCCCCCCCACACACTTACACGCACACACACCCAACCCCACACCAACACACTCACCTCCACCTCTTGAGCCGATCTAAACCGCATCTCCTGCCTCTCCACCAGTCTCTGGTGCAGCAGCGAGTTATGGTCTGCACTTAGTCTCAACACACACACTCACCCCATACACACACACACGCACTCACCTCCACCTCTTGAGCCGATCCAAACCGCATCTCCTCTCTTTCCACCAGTCGTTGGTGCAGCAGCGAGTAATGGTCCGCACTCAGCCGCAACACCGGCTCAAACCCCACGTCCATTCCGGCCAATGAGGTGACGACACGTGTCGCCAGCGCCAGGCCGAACATGGCTGGGATGGTTCCCAGGACAGGGATGACTCTTACCCGGAACCCTGGGACCACCTGTAACGAGTATGAATGGGGAATGGAAGAGAGGGAGAAAGAAAGAGAAAGGTAAAGTTTACAGGCTGATGCACAGTTTACATGTTCGATCCTGGGACCATGTACAACGTGTATGATGACAATCATCAGAAAGAGCACCTGCGAAAACACCTGAAAAGCGCCTGAACATCACCTGGAGGTCAGCAGGCTGAAGTGACTCGTCAGCAACTGGCAGCAGTTTGGCCTTGGGGCGGTCGAGAGAAAACACCGCCTCCACTGCCGCTGCTGCCCCCAGCGCCTTGCGCAACCGCTGCCGCACCTGCAGGGGTGGGTTGGATGGATGGATGGTGATGATTCGTTGTGTGCTCGCTTTGCGTGTGTGTGTGTCTATACATGCATACATGCATATTTAAGTATATAAACACACAAACATATTTCTTTACACTTGGTGGGTGGGTGGGTGGGTGGGTGGCGAGGCGAGCGCCTCACCGCACGGGAGAGCGGGTCGATGGACGACTCGGTGATGTCAGCGATGCGGGTGCGAGTGGGATTGACACAAGCACCCGCACGCACCCATGGCACTGATGACAGGCAGCCCTCTCAGCAATGAGAGGAAGGCGCAATTGAGCAGTGGTGAATGGCTCACCGCACGGGAGAGGGTACCATACCGCACGGGAGAGCGGGTCGATGGACGACTCGCTGATGTCAGCGATGCGAATGCGAGTGGGGTCTGCTCGAGCGCCTGCCCCCATGGCACTGATGACAGGCAGGCCACGGCGCACACAGGCAGACAGAAGAGCGACCTGTGGATAGAGCAGGGAGGAGAGGCAGGAAAAAAGTCGTGGGTGAGGGGCTGTGGGTGGGGCCTGGTGGCTGTGGGGGCTGCTATCACTGCAGCAGCCCCTGCCTGCCCCCATGGCACTGATGACAGGCAGACCCCGGCGCACACAGGCAGAGAGCAGCGCGACCTATGGGAAGAACAAGGAGAGGGGGGAGCATGGAAGAGCGCTGTGGGTGAGGGGCCATGGGGGAGTGGGGCAGCTATCGCCTCAGCCCCTGCCTGCCCCCATAGTGCTGATGACCGGCAGACCCCGGCGCACACAGGCAGAGAGCAGCGCGGCCTGTGAACAAGGCAGGGAAAGGAGGCCGGCAATCAAGAAAAGAAAAGAAACTGTGTGTGTTAGGGGCCTTGAGGCCTTGAGGTTGCTACTTTGTTGCTATCACTCAAGGGTATCAAGAATCAGCTGTGCGCAACTTTGCCTTCCTTTGCTCCACGAGACCTGATTAAATTCGATTTGATTTTATTCGATTGGATTCAATTCGATTTGATTTGATTCGATTTTATTCAATTCGATTTGATTTGATTCCGACCTTTGTGTCGATATTGTCAATGCAGTCCACAACGTAGTCGGGCTGCCCGGACAAAACTTTCTCCTCGTTCTCCTCCGTGTACATCGCTGTCATCCCCTCCACTTGCGCTTCGGGCAGGATGCGAAGGAAATGCTCCCTCATGCACTGCGCCTTGGAAATCCCCACGTCTGCCCGCGTGGCAACAGCATGGCGATTGAGGGAGGACAGTGACACCTGCATGGTAAAGACAGTGGAAGGGGGGACAATAAGGAGGAAGAGGGGGAAAATGCCAAGGAAATGCTCCCTCATGCACTGCGCCTTGGAAATCCCCCCATCTGCTCGTGTGGCAGCGACAGGGCGGCAATTCGAGACATTGCGAGTCAACCCAAGTCAACCAGAGTAAACAGGGTCAACGGGGTACCTACCTGGTCGAAGTCGACGAGTCTCAGTCGGCCAACGCCACATCTGAGCAGCGCTGCAGCAGCATGGCTGCCCACCCCCCCCCTCCCCTCCCCCCCCCCAGCCCCACCACCACCACGAATACCACCCGGTCAATCCCAGTCAACTCGAGTCAACAGAGTCAACAGGGTCAATGGAGGTCAATGGTACCTGGTCAAAGTCAACGAGTCTCAGTGAGCCAACGCCGCATCTTGGCAGTGCCGCAGCGGCATGGATGCCCACCCCTCCCAGTCCCACCACCACCACGAACGCCACCCAGTCAAATGCAGTCAAATGCAGTCAAGCAAAGTCAATGGTACCTGGTCAAAGTCAACGAGTCTCAGCCTGCCAACGCCACATCTCAGCAGCGCCGCAGCAGCATGGCTCCCCACCCCCCCCAGCCCCACCACCACCACAAACGCCCGGTGCACTGCCAGCTGGCCGGGCAGACCAAACATTTGAATGTTCCTGCCCGGCAGCGGGGAAGGGTAAGGGGAGGTGAAGAGCAGCAAGAGGGGAAGGTAAGGGAGGAGAGAAGAGTGGAAAGGAAGGAAATAGGGGGGGATGGGGGAGAGGGGAAGAGGGTCCGGTCGGGGTTGAGAGGAGAAGAGGGCAGTGGAGAATGAGAGAGGAAGTGGGAAACCAGAAAAAATCCCTTATCGGAGTAATGAACCTGGTTGAACATTGAGCTTAGCATGCCTAAAGCGAATGGGGCCTAAAACGGGTACCTGGTGAACTGCTCCACGATGATGTCATCATCAGCCGCTGCCAGGCTGGCAAGATCCTGGCCATCCAATCCGCCACTGCCACGTATCACGTCCACACCAGAAGGTCCCTGACTTCTGGCACCGTGCTGCGAATCAGGAGGGCGAGATATTCCTGCGGCAGCAGGAGCTGAGTCTGCATCAGGTGAATTTTCAGGTGGTTTCAGGTGCTGCTCGTGATGCTGCTTCTCCTCCTCCTGCTGCTGCTGCTGCTCCTGCTGGAGGTGCTGATGATGCGGTTCTTGCTCCTCTGCTGCTGCAGACTGTAGCGAGGCCAGACCTGCATGGCCACCGTTATACCTGGACGGTAAGAAAGGAAGAGACGGGAAGGGAGGGAAAGAAAAGGCGAAAGGGAGTGGAGGGAGGACGGAAAGAAACGAAAGGTGGGAGTAAAAAAATGGAGGGAGTAAGGCAGACGCGCGTGTCATCCCTCAGTCCGCTGCCGCATGGGATGCGGTTTTGGAGAGTTCTAATAAAAATGGCGAGAGACGGGGAGAGGTGAGATCCAAGAGATGAGATGCAACAAAGCCGCCTAGAATGCAGAAAATTACGCTTCTAGTCGGCTTCCGAGAATACCGAGAATCTCAAGAATTCCGAGAAAAGAAACAGGAATAAAAAAAAAAGAGAACAGGTGGACTTCATATTCGACCATCAGTTAGCAAGCGTACCCTGTGGCGAAGCAGATACTAACGTGATTTCATGTGGCTCGTCAGAAGAGTAGACGGAATAGAGCTTCCAAGCGCAAAGCGCGGCGCACGAGCCGGCAGCAGCTCCCAGGGCGAAGGTCGCCCACGGCGACCTAAAAAGCTTCATGGCGAGTAGCGAATTTTATACAAACGAGGACAACCCAGATGAAGAGGACCCAGCCACATGCCGGAATCGACAGGGCCGCAGCACACGACTACATAAATGACGGCGACATTCGTACAGAACGGGAACGACACTACGGGCCAGACCGAGCAGCGAACGGGAAAAAAAAAAAGCAGAAGCGTATTACGCTCGCGCCGCAATGGGAGCCCAGTTATATCGCGGTGGTGGTTTCTTGTTCCAAGGCAAAACTGTCGAGAGCATGAATTGGCGTGGAGGTGAGGGGTATCGATCCCCTTACCTATCGCATGCGAAGCGATCGCTCTACCATGTGAGCTACACCCCCATGTTTCTATATCGGAAATAGATATTTTGACTTAATCATCAGAGGTGTTCTGACAACTCCAACGTCACTTCGGATTGAGTGAGCGACACGCACGTCCCACTTCCCTTGGGAGCTCCCAAGGCTGGTCCCAAACCAGCCCAAACCGAATATCCTCTTCTTGAGGTATCTTGGGACCTTGGGTTTGGGTCAGGCCTGACGAGAGAAGTCTCCTAACACTCCCGCTGGTTGCGATCATCTCTCAACCTTGGGAACTTCGCAACGCCTCCTGAGGCAGGCAGTTTTCGCACTGGCCGAATCTCGAATCTGGGTGGATGTTTTGAGCAGATTGGCTCTTGATCGTGCGAGATCGTAGTGAAGTTTTGCTGTACATGGATGTTGTGTCAGAGCGATACCACGCTTTGGAACGGCAATTCACGGTCCTTTAGCGGTTCTTATGCAGTGGTTGGCGAAAAGCTAGCAGATTGGGAAAGGGTGCAGACATCGAGAGGACGACTGATCCGGATTTATTGCAAGCGGGGTGATCAACGTAGTACCACTTCAAATAGAAGTCTGGACCTCCAAACTTTTAGATGTTCCGAAACTCGTGAAGGAGTCTGATCGGCTCTGGGCTCTTGCCGAGCGCGAATGCATCGAACGGCTGGCAGAGAGTGAAAGCTGAGAGATCACGAGAGCTGACGGAAAATCAACGCTGACGGATTCGTAACAGGCATCGCAAAGATGGCGGATGGCGGACCAGTCGGATCAACGGCTAGCGATTGCGGCTTCTGGTGCCTGGTTACCAGTCGCCGGTTCGCCGAGGCTGTTTCGTCGCTGGCGAAGCCGAAAGAGGTGGTGCTGCGACCCAAGGAGGAGCAGGATCTGGTGGGGTTTGGATGGCGGGAGATCCTGGGGTTGAAAGAGAAGAGATCGGGGAACGCTGAACTTGCTGCGGAGACGCATCAGGTAAACAAAGAGGCGTGTATGGTTCCTCTGGTGCTGCGATGCAAGGAGGGGCAGGAACTGGTGGGGTTTGGATGGTGGGAGATCCTGGGATTGAAAAGAAAGTCATGTAGGGGAATGCTGAGCTTGCTGCGGAGACGCATCAGGTAAACAAAGAGGCGTGTGTGGTCCCAACTTTCTCTGATGCTGCAAGCCGAAAAAGAGCAGGATCTGTGGCGGAGTTTGGATGGCGGGAAATTCTGGGTCTGAAGGAAAAGTCATCGGGGAAGTACGATCTCACTGCTGAGACGCGTCAGGTAAGGCGTGGATTCATCCAAGCTGCGAATTGTGCCTTCCGCAGGGTGTGGTACGGAAAGGGCGCGTGGTGTAAGGCTTTCCGAACAATGTGCTTACCTCCTGCGTACTCCCTTGCTCTTGCCCCATCCTCAGGTGTACTACGTCACGAATCGGGTGTGCGAGAGGGAGAGGGCGTGGTGTACGGCTCTTAGCCTCATGTACTCCCCCCCTGCATCCTGCCATGCTCGCGTGCCATCGTGTGCCATCGTGTGCCATCGTGTGCCATCCTCAGGTGTACTACGTCACGAATCGGGTGTGCGAGAGGGAGAGGGCGTGGTGTACGGCTCTTAGCCTCATGTACTCCCCCCCTGCATCCTGCCATGCTCGCGTGCCATCGTGTGCCATCGTGTGCCATCGTGTGCCATCCTCAGGTGTACTACGTCACGAATCGGGTGTGCGAGAGGGAGGACGAGAAGATGGGCAAGGTGTATGGCAAGTTCATGGACAGTGGCTTGCACGTTGGCGTGGTGGATGTGAGTTATGAGAGGATGCTATGGATGGCCTGTTTGGGGGGCAAAGGGAAGAGGATGAGGGGACTGGAGGATGAGACGACGAGAAGATGGGCAAGGGGTATGGCAGCTTATGGACAATGGTGGATGTGAGTGATAGCAATGTGAGTGATAGCAATGTGAGTGATAGCAATGTGAGTGATAGCAATGTGAGTGATAGCAATGTGAGTGATAGCAATGTGAGTGATAGCAATGTGAGTGATAGCAATGTGAGTGATAGCAATGTGAGTGATAGCAATGTGAGTGATAGCAATGTGAGTGATAGCAATGTGAGTGATAGCAATGTGAGTGATAGCAATGTGAGTGATAGCAATGTGAGTGATAGCAATGTGAGTGATAGCAATGTGAGTGATAGCAATGTGAGTGATAGCAATGTGAGTGATAGCAATGTGAGTGATAGCAATGTGAGTGATAGCAATGTGAGTGATAGCAATGTGAGTGATAGCAATGTGAGTGATAGCAATGTGAGTGATATAGTATGGTATGATGTACTGGCATTCCCATCGACAGCATGGGAGTGTACTGCTTGGAATAGGAACAAACTTATCTTCGCTGCCGCTTGTAACTGCAGGTGGACTGTCCAAATGGCAAGCCTCAAGTGAAGCCGGAGGGGCAGCTTGTAACGAGTATGGATGCGGAGGCATTCAAGCAGCGACTGAGAGAGCATGTGGCTCGCGACGAGAACAAGGCAGTGCTCGTCTATGTGCATGGGTATGTATGTTGTGTGCATGGGCGCGGGATATGCATGGGGACGTGCACGGGTATGTGCATGGGTATGTATGTTGTGTGCATGGGCGCGGCATATGCATGGGGACGTGCATGGGGACGTGCATGGGTATGTGCATGGGTATGTGCATGGATATGTGCATGGGTATTTATGTCCATGGATGTATTTGCATGCGTATGTGAGTGCATGGGTATGTGTGTGCACGGGTATGTGTGTGCATAGTGTATTGTTACCGGTATGTATGTGGAAGGCTACGCTGTGCATGGGTATGTTGATAGGGTCCTCTCTTTTTGTATCCAAGTCATATGTATGTCCATTCGTAAATCCTACACTATTTTTCCTCCTTTTCTGCCTTACCCATTCCTCTCTGCACTTTGTGTGTTGTATTGTGATTCGTGTGTTGTGTTGTGATTCGTGTGTTGTGTTGTGATTCGTGTGTTGTGTTGTGATTCGTGTGTTGTGTTGTGATTCGTGTGTTGTATTGTGATTCGTGTGTTGTGATTCGTGTGTTGTATTGTGATTCGTGTGTTGTGATTCGTGTGTTGTGTTGTGATTCGTGTGTTGTGATTCGTGTGTTGTATTGTGATTCGTGTGTTGTGTTGTGATTCGTGTGTTGTGTTGTGATTCGTGTGTTGTGTTGTGATTCGTGTGTTGTGTTGTGATTCGTGTGTTGTGTTGTGATTCGTGTGTTGTGTTGTGATTCGTGTGTTGTGATTCGTGTGTTGTGTTGTGATTCGTGTGTTGTGTTGTGATTCGTGTGTTGTGTTGTGATTCGTGTGTTGTTTTTTTCCTCCCTGCAGTTGCTTCACTGATTTCAGCCGGGGCATGGGCTACGGAGCATTCATGCAGGTACGAACCTGAGCCCCTTTCCCCTTCAACCGCCCCACACTTAGCGTGTCTGTCCTGTCCTCAGTGCGGCCCCACACAGTGAGGCCCCATTGTGTGATCCTCAGTCATCCCGTGGTCGTGTACAGCTCCCCCACCCCACCCACGGTGGGGCGTCGGTCAAGCTGGGACTTATTGCCCTGTTAGTCAAGTGTGCGGTTTTTGAGAATTCTCAAAAATCGCACATGTGGGGCGTCAGACAAGTTGAGACTGATTTTCCTGCCCTCCAAGGGATGAGTCAAGGGCATTATCCCTCCAAGGGATGAGTCAAGGGCATTATCCCTCCAAGGGATGAGTCAAGGGCATTATCCCTCCAAGGGATGAGTCAAGGGCATTATCCCTCCAAGGGATGAGTCAAGGGCATTATCCCTCCAAGGGATGAGTCAAGGGCATTATCCCTCCATGTGCCTTTTCCTCTTCTCTTGCATTTCCCATCTCTCTCTCAGTGTAGCCTTGATTTCAACGGTCCCATCCCATGGTGGTGTACAGCTGGCCCACGATGGGCAAGCCAAGCTGAAGTGGTGAGTCATGACTTGCATCCTTCCCTCTCCTCCCTCACGTGCCACCCCCTCTCCCCCTCCCAGCACGGGCTGGACTTCAACAGTCGTATGGTGGTGTACAGCTGGCCCACGGTGGGGCAGTGATTCTAGTGTGCATAGTTCTTCCCCGTCTCTCCCTCTCCCAGCGAGGGCTGGACTTTAGCGGTGCTGGCCTGGCCACTGGCGTGTTTACCTGTATCAATCTGTTACCTCCCTCCCTAACTCTTCTTCGTTCCCCCCCCCCCCCTCCTCCCAGCAAGGCCTGGACTTCAACAGACCCATGGTGGTGTACAGCTGGCCCACGGTGGGGCGGCTGCTGCTGATGTGTGCACCTCGATCACTCTGCTTCCAACCTTGTCAACCTTCTTGCTCCCTTCTCCCTCCTTCTCAGAGAGGCCTGGATTTCAACGGACCCATGGTGGTGTACAGCTGGCCCACCGTGGGGCGGCCGTCTGTGTCAGTGGGGCTGGGGGTGATCAGCCTGTACCGCCAGGACGAGGTCACCTGTATGCAGGCCGCTCCCGACCTCAGGGTGAGTTACATCATACATCTGTGTGTCTACGTATGGATGGAAGTATCTGGGTAAAGTCTGGCCGTCTGTATTGGTGGGGCTGGGGGTGATCAGCTTGTACCGCCAGGACGAGGTCACGTGCACGCAGGCCGCTCCCGAACTCAGGATGAGTACACTCACTATTGTACATTTTAAATACATTTATATAATATATATGTATGAAAATGTGTATATTTAGGGGTCTGTGTCGGTGGGGCTGGCCCGCCTGGGGGTGATCAGCCTGTACCGCCAGGACGAGGTCACATGCATGCAGGTCGCTCCCGAACTCAGGGTGAGTACACTCACTATTGTACATTTTAAATACATTTATATAATATGTATATATGAAAATGTGTATGTTTAGGGGTCTGTGTCGGTGGGGCTGGGGGTGATCAGCCTGTACTGCCAGGACGAGGTCACATGCATGCATGCCGTTCCCGAACTCAGGGTGAGTACACTCACTATTGTACATTTTAAATACATTTATATAATATGTATATATGAAGATGTGTATGTTAAGGGGTCTGTGTCGGTGGGGCTGGGGGTGATCAGCCTGTACCGCCAGGACAAGGTCACATGCATGCAGGCCGCCCCCGACCTCAGGGTGAGTATGCTTTGTTATGCAGGGTAAGCAGGGTAAGTCTGGGTCTGTGTCATTGTGTGATGACCATCTGTGTCATTGTGTGATGACCATCTGTGTCATTGTGTGATGACCATCTGTGTCATTGTGTGATGACCATCTGTGTCATTGTGTGATGACCATCTGTGTCATTGTGTGATGACCATCTGTGTCATTGTGTTATGTCCATCTGTGTCATTGTGTGATGACCATCTGTGTCATTGTGTGATGACCATCTGTGTCATTGTGTGATGACCATCTGTGTCATTGTGTGATGACCATCTGTGTCATTGTGTGATGACCATCTGTGTCATTGTGTGATGACCATCTGTGTCATTGTGTGATGACCATCTGTGTCATTGTGTGATGACCATCTGTGTCATTGTGTGATGACCATCTGTGTCATTGTGTGATGACCATCTGTGTCATTGTGTGATGACCATCTGTGTCATTGTGTGATGACCATCTGTGTCATTGTGTGATGACCATCTGTGTCATTGTGTGATGACCATCTGTGTCATTGTGTGATGACCATCTGTGTCATTGTGTGATGACCATCTGTGTCATTGTGTGATGACCATCTGTGTCATTGTGTGATGACCATCTTATGACCATCTGTGTCATTGTGTGATGACCATCTTATGACCATCTGTGTCATTGTGTGATGACCATCTGTGTCATTGTGTTATGACCGTCTGTGTCATTGTGTTATGACCATCTGTGTCATTGTGTGATGACCATCTGTGTCATTGTGTGATGACCATCTGTGTCATTGTGTGATGACCATCTGTGTCATTGTGTGATGACCATCTGTGTCATTGTGTGATGACCATCTGTGTCATTGTGTGATGACCATCTGTGTCATTGTGTGATGACCATCTGTGTCATTGTGTGATGACCATCTGTGTCATTGTGTGATGACCATCTGTGTCATTGTGTGATGACCATCTGTGTCATTGTGTGATGACCATCTGTGTCATTGTGTGATGACCATCTGTGTCATTGTGTGATGACCATCTGTGTCATTGTGTGATGACCATCTGTGTCATTGTGTGATGACCATCTGTGTCATTGTGTGATGACCATCTGTGTCATTGTGTGATGACCATCTGTGTCATTGTGTTATGACCGTCTGTGTCATTGTGTTATGACCATCTGTGTCATTGTGTGATGACCATCTGTGTCATTGTGTGATGACCATCTGTGTCATTGTGTGATGACCATCTGTGTCATTGTGTGATGACCATCTGTGTCATTGTGTGATGACCATCTGTGTCATTGTGTGATGACCATCTGTGTCATTGTGTGATGACCATCTGTGTCATTGTGTGATGACCATCTGTGTCATTGTGTGATGACCATCTGTGTCATTGTGTGATGACCATCTGTGTCATTGTGTGATGACCATCTGTGTCATTGTGTGATGACCATCTGTGTCATTGTGTGATGACCATCTGTGTCATTGTGTGATGACCATCTGTGTCATTGTGTGATGACCATCTGTGTCATTGTGTGATGACCATCTGTGTCATTGTGTGATGACCATCTGTGTCATTGTGTGATGACCATCTGTGTCATTGTGTGATGACCATCTGTGTCATTGTGTGATGACCATCTGTGTCATTGTGTGATGACCATCTGTGTCATTGTGTGATGACCATCTGTGTCGGTGATGCTTGGGAGCATGGGCGCACGACAAGAAGCAGGACTGGCAGTGCTCTTAACTCATCTGAAGGGACAAGTCAACATTTCCGCAAAGGCTCAAGCGGGCCTGAAGCAGCAGCTTATGAATCAGCTGCGAGAACGGGAGGAGCATGTGTCGATAGCTCATGTGCCTGTAATGAAGGAGAGTGTGAGAATGGGAGGTCTATGCCTGATAGTGGTCGCTGGCAAGAGAATCTTGCGTGTGTACGTGTAGAGTCTGTGTCTCGCAGTGTAGATCCTCAGTATAGCAGTCTTGAATCTAGGGCAAGGGAAGAAGTAGGTGCAGGTAGAGCTGCAGTTCCATTCCCAGGTGCAGAACGGCTTACAGAATCAGCTGTCAGGCCACTGCCATCAGCAGCATCAGCAGGAGGAGGAGCAAGAGGATCAGGAGCAGGAGAGCAGAGCAGCTCACAGCCAGCAGTGCGGAATAATGAGCAAGCAGCAGTGCGGGAGAATGCGCACATACATCTGTTCACGGCTCGCAACGACATCGCTCTGCTGCTCTCTGAATTCATGGACGCCGGTATTCCCAAGGTACGCCAAGCATGAGGCACTGTGCTCGCAAGGTGTGGACGCGCAAAACACATTCGTGCTTTTCTTTTGTTCTTCCTTTTCTCTTTTAGAATTCTCAGAGCGCAATGCATGCTCCAGCTCTTGGTCAAATCAATGCGTATCCACATGCGGAGTTGAAGCTTTTTCAAGCTTAAATATCATGCAAACGGGCGCAATTCTTCCGTGGTACTTCAGGTGCGTGCAGGGAGGGGCTCGGACGATTTCCTGCTATGCTGCGGACACAAGGCCTTTGACACAGTCGACGTTAGTGGCTTAAACAGCGGGCTGCTCAGCACGGGCCACTTCTACCTCTTCCACCACATCGTGCGCCGCGACATGCGCCGCCAGATGCTGGGACTCGGAGAGGCAGGTGGAGTGGGAGGGGGAGGAGTGGCAGGGGGAATTGGAGGGGCAGCGGCAGGGGAAGGCGAGGCAGGAGGAGCGGGAAGGGGGGCGGGGGAGGAGGCGTGGTGGAGGGAGCATGCGGAGTGGAATCAGCACAAGTATGTGCGCCTCACTGCTTCCCGGCCACCTGCTGCGAAACTGTCCGGAGGAGGACCTTTGGAACCTTCAGCTCCAGCTGTAAACGCTTCACCTGCAGCACCATGTGCTGTACAATCTCCACGACCATCACCACCACACCCGCAATCAGCATCAGCAGCACCACCTGCTTCGCCTCTCGAGCCGTGCTCTGTGTCGTACACACCACGTTCGTTCTTCTTCCCCTGGGCTAGAGCAGAACCTGCCACGCACAGCAGCAGTAGCAATGGCGGCGGAGGCGGCAGCAGCACGCTCGATTTGACACCCGCTAGAAGCAGCGGACAGCTGGGTAGCAGTGCTGGTCCTCGCAAAAACCAACTTGAGAATTCTAAAAAACCGGTACGTACCGTACGTCTTCAGAGTCAACTCAAAGGTAACCATAGCTCCCAACGCTCGAATTTTGAGTCGGCTCAAAAGTCGACTCATGAGTCGACGCAAAAGTCATCTCGGACAGCTGGGTACCAGTGCTGGTCACCGCAACCCTCTGGTACGTACCGTACGTCGTCAAAGTCAACTCAAAACTAACCATAGCTCTCAACGCTCCTATGACGTTTGACTTTCGAGCTGTTAAAAAAAATAAATCATTTTACACTACCCGATTATCTAAGTTAGCTCTTCAAAACGGACTTAAAAAGTCACCGTGTTTGCATGTGTGGCTGCTTCTGTTGCCCCTTCCTCCTACACACAACACCAAACCCCCCCTCCCCTCTTCCCCCCCACCCCCTTCCCCCCAACCCCTGCAGTTTGACTCATCACCACTCACATGGGCATGCCCATGAGGCGTCTCCAAACCAGGCAATGAAGGGGAGTAAGCGTGAATGAGGGCACAAGTTTGTGAGAACTTTTGAAGGATCTATTTTTTCTGCGTCTAGTTGGTAAGGTTTTGACGAGGGGCACTGAAGAAGGAACACGCAAGTCCTAGCACTTCATGAAGTGGTGCTGTAAGCTATGAACATGCAAGTGGACGTTTTGACTATTGTTGTTGTTTTGTCTAGGTGCCTTCTTGCATTTGCTCTGAAAGCACTTGTTTTAACAATTTTACAATTCTCTTTCGGTTAATAAGACAATAAGACAATTCTGCAGCACGCCAAGCTACAGTAAGGACAGAGGAGCACAGGGTCATTAAAAAAACATTCTGATGCCTATACAGTGTACAATCCCCCATACCCCATCCCCCCAACTTTTATGCATAGAGGTCCATTGAATGGTTTTGAGGCGCCTCAGAACTCGTATCACTGGAAGGCGTGTGGTGTGCTGCAGCAGGCCCTTAGAAGGCAGCGTGGTGCAGTGGAAGGAGGGACGAGTGGGGGGCTGGAGAGCGACAGAGAGGGCATTCGGGCTTCTCGTTGCACCACTCCGCAATGCAGCCCCTGGGAGGAGCGGAGAGGTAGATGGAATGGAGGGAGAAGGCGAGAGATATTACGAGGTGGTTGCATCGAACAAGACACGGCATGATAAGTGCGAGGAAAGGGCGAGTGACAAGGGAGAGCACTCGGGCTGTGCAGCCCCTGGGAGGCAAACACAGATACACCGGCGGAAGGGACTTTTGAGTCGACTCAAAAAGTCACAGATACACAGGCGGATGGGCCAAAACATAAAGAGGGAACAGAAGGAAGTGTAAAACCAGGGGTGTGGAAGCGCGTGTGTTTTTTGAGAATTCTCAAAAAACACACGCTTAAAGAGGGAACAGAGGTGACTTTTGAGTCGACTCAAAAGTCACCTCGCTTAAAGAGGGAACAGAAGAAAGTGTAAAAACCAGGGGTGTGGAAGCATAGAGTGGACGAGAGGGGAACGAAAGAAAACAAACGTTGAAGGGAAACGCTTGGGAAAAAGGGGGAGGCAGGTGGAGTGTTTTTGAGACGTCTCAAAAACACCCTTCAGCATCGAGAATTCTCAAAAACACCCTCATAACACGTGAGAAAAAGGGGGAGGCAGGAGGAGTGGAAAAACTGTGGTGGCAGGCAGGAATGTGAGAGAAGAAGGGGAGGAGAGGAAGGAATAAGGGAGGAGTGAGGGAGGAGAGGGGGGAAGAAGAAGAGGAGTAGAGCTTTGAGTATACCAGCAGAAGATGTGACCGCAGGGGCAGCAGGTGGGATGGGAGCGAGCAGCCAAGCACAGGGAGCACCGCCCACTCGCCTCACTCCCCGCCTCCCCCTCCGCTTCTCCCTCTTGAGGCTCTTGAGATGCTTCCTCCTCCGCGCCCCACCCCTTGCTGGACTCAGGTGGGGCAGTGGCTGCTGCCTGTGAACCTGAGGATGGGTTTTGTATGGAGGGATGGGATGGTATGGGATGGGAGCGAGGTGCAAGACACAGGGAGCACCGCCCACTCGCCTCACTCCCCGCCTCCCCCTCCGCTTCTCCCTCTTGAGACGCCTCCGCCTCCGCCTCCTCGCCCCACCCCTTGCTGGACTCAGGTGGGGCATTGGGTGCTGCCTGTGGGGCTGAGGATTGGGTGGGGAAGAAGAAGAGAAGACGAGAAGCGTTTGGGCATATCCAGGGAAGATGTGACAGCAGGGACAGCAAGTGGGGTGGGAGCGAGCAGCCAGACACAGGGAGCATGCCTCATCCCATGACTCGAGTCATACCACGCCTCACCCCATGCCTCACCCCATGCCTCACCCCATGCCTCACCCCATGCCTCACCCCATGCCTCACCCCGTGCCTCGAGTCATGCCATACCTCACCCCATACCTCGAGTCATACCATACCTCACCCCATGCCTCGAGTCATGCCATGTGTCACCTGTGGTTGGCAGTGGTACGGCGTGAGCCAGGGGTGTGCGCTGCAGCAGGGAGCGGCGCAGCCAATCAGAGGAGAGGATTGCGAGCTGGATGAACAGGAAGAATGCGAGCATGTGGTACCTGCCGTGGGGGGGTGGGAGGGGGATGGGGGGGCAAGGGTGAAGGATATGTGCCAAGTGCATATGGGGGGGGTGTGGGTGGGAAGGGAGGATGGTGAGGTGGAAGAAGAGGAGGGAATGCGAGCATGTGGTACCTGCCGTGGGTGGGAGGGGGATGGATGGCTAGCACCGTAGCATGTGAACCCACCAATCACACGAACCTGGGGGAATAAGCAGGTGGCTGGGCTGTGTAGATAATAGATATACCGAATGCCTGTCACTCTCTTGGCCACGTGCAGGTACGCCCCGTGCCAGTAGAAGAGCAGCAGATGTGTAGTTTTGAGGCGCCTCAAAAGTAGAAGAGCAGCATATGTGTAGTTTTGAGGTGCCTCAAAAGTAGAAGAGCAGCAGATGTGTAGTTTTGAGGTGCCTCAAAAGTAGAAGAGCAGCAGATGTGTAGTTTTGAGGTGCCTCAAAAGTAGAAGAGCAGCAGATGTGTAGTTTTGAGGTGCCTCAAAAGTAGAAGAGCAGCAGATGTGTAGTTTTGAGGTGCCTCAAAAGTAGAAGAGCAGCAGATGTGTAGTTTTGAGGTGCCTCAAAAGTAGAAGAGCAGCAGATGCGCCCTCCCCTTCCCAGCAGCACAGTGGTTGCCTTGCCTTTTAAGGGCTACCTCAGAGAATTGTTCCCAGCAGAGAGAGACGACGGACGGACCTGGGAGAGTAGGCAGGAGGCTGTGCTGTGTAGATGTATCGCACCCCTGTCACCCTCTTTATTGAAGAAGTGTTTTGAGACGTCTCAAAACACTTCTTCAATCACCCAGCAGAGAGAGAGGAGACGGACCTGGGAGAGTAGGCAGGAGGCTGTGCTGTGTAGATGTATCGCACCCCTGTAACCCTCTTTGCCACATGCAGGTACGCCCCGTGCCAGTAGAAGAGCAGCAGATGCGCCCTCCCCAGCAGCATCAACACATCCCCCCCTCGCGCTGCCAACCCCGCCCACACCACCAGCGCCCTCCTCCCCATCTCCCTCACTCTCTCCCTCAATCTCTCCGTCACACGGCCCACCCAGTGCCACCCTGTCGCCACAGCTGCCACCCATCCCAACCACCTCCCACGTGCTGCATCCACACCGCCCCTCTCTATTGTGCTCCCATCTCTCCCCCTGGGGCCGCCTGTTGTTCCCCTTGTCCCTGCATCCACTGCTCCCCCCTCCCTTGCTCCCCCCTCCCCTGCTGCTGATCCCCCCTCCCGTGCTGCCCCCTCCCCTGCTGCCCCTTCCACTGCTCTCCTCTCCCTTGCCGCTTCTCCCCCCTCTTCTGCTGCTGCGAGCGCCCTTCCCCGGGCAGCAGCGCGGGCGCTGACGTGAGCCGCCACAGCTGGGAGGAGCGAGTGCAGCAGCACGAGAGAGAGGCGACGTGCTGGCGTGGGGGGGAGGTTGTAACTGCCAGACACCTGGGAAGGGCGGGATGGGCGTGCAAAGGGGCAGCAGCGCGCCGCGTGTGCTGACGTGAGCCGCTACAGCCACATGTATTGCGACAGCCTCTGTCGCAATACACCTTCACTCTGTCGCAATACTCCTTCACTCTGTCGCAATACTCCTTCACTCTGTCGCAATACTCCTTCACTCTGTCGCAATGCTCCTTCACTCTGTCGCAATACTCCTTCACTCTGTCGCAATACTCCTTCACTCTGTCGCAATACTCCCTCACTCTGTCGCAATACTCCTTCACTCTGTCGCAATACTCCTTCACTCTGTCGCAATACTCCTTCACTCTGTCGCAATACGTACAGGATGTCGCAGAATCACACGCAGGAAAAGTACTACCCTCCGGAGTCCCACATGCATGATGTCGCAGTACTCTTCCCCTAGAGTCCTGCTGCTGGTGTGTGTCGGAGGGGACGGGGTACTGGGAGGAGAGGAGGAGGGAGGAACAGCAGCGACATGAGAAGCATCACCTGCACTATGTCGCAGTACTCTTCCCCTAGAGTCCTGCTGCCGGCGCCGGTGGTCACGAGGTAATAAAGACACCGCGCTGCCACGCGGATCGGGCCGCCCCATTGGCCCGCGACGCGGTGGCCGAGCTGCGAGCCAATGGCGTCGTGACACATGTCGCCCAGCGACGCCGCGTACAGCTCGTCCTTCTCCGCGGCGCGCATCACCTCCGGCTGCGCCGCCGGCGGAAACTGCACGCCGGGGGAAGCCGCTGGCGGGGAAGCTGTCAGCGGGGAAGCAGCCGCCGGGGAATCGGGCCGCCTACTGCTGACGTTATGCGCTGCCGTAGCAGACATGCCTAATCCCTTACGCTCCTAGCTTCTTTACGGATTTAATAAAACGCGAAGGGGAATTTTAGGCTGACGCGTACAGCGTGCTGGAGTCCGTACAAGTCTCCTCGTGTATTCTTGAGGCGCCGCGAAAATAGTCTCACGACTCGCGGTTTTTGAAGCACGGAGTGGACTTGCGGGACGCGACGCGAGTGGACGCGCGAGTGACGGTTGTGCGATGACAATGAAAATGATTATGCTGGAACAGTTCGGCATAGGCTAGGCTAGTAAATACGCGATTTTGGCGCTCCAGGTTTCGCTATACTTGGCAGCAGAAAGGTTTTTGTATTTCGTGGTGTTAGAAAACTCACTCGCAGCTCAACTTATCGTACATTTGGTGAGCAAATAAAAAAAATGAAATATCCTTTGCAAAAAAAATGTTGCAATATTTACCATCTGTGTCAGACCATGGTGCTTGCTATTGGATCGTATTACTAAAAAAAGAAATTATTGTATCTCGATTCAATGGTGGTGAAATTGTATCTTTATTCGACGCTGCTTTTCATGCATCAAAATCGTGAAAGACCACTGCGGTGACTAGAGAAGATGGTGGTGGTGTGGTGGGTGAGGGCTTGTTCGTAGTTTTGACACCAGTGTCATTTTGGAATTTTGACACGAGCATACATTGTCGGTTGGCGTCAAAAAGTCGCTCAATGTCAGCCTGTCAAATTAATCGGATAGCTCGCTCGCCTAGAGTCGCAACGCACACCGTCCAACCAAAACCATCGCATTGATACCTCTCACGATTTTCTCTCACTCAATCAAAAATCTGCAAAACCTGCCTCTGCGATGGTCCACAAATCCCCACCCAACACGTTGGTGTTGGGTTGCTCTGTGGAGTTGCACTGACAGGGGCCAACATCATCGACATGCGAAACAGTGTGGTAACTCTATGCAATTGTATGCAAAACCGGCGATAGCTCAGTTTTGGAGTTTTTGACATATTTTCGAAGTAACGCGTTTCTGTTAAAATGTATCAATGAATTGCACCGCGCTTGTTGTTGCGCTAAAACTCGAATTTTTCGGGCGACAGTTTCTGCCAGATTAGCAACTCTGTTCATTACACCTGACAGAAAAAATAAAACACTGTGCGCAATCGGAAAGGGATGCGACTCGGGGAGGCATCAACCCTAAAAACAATGCCCTTTCCCGTGTTTAGGGTTGATTCCTCCCAAGATTGCTTCCAGGTCCCAATGGGGTTTTATTTTTATTCTTCCCTACCCTGACAGTTCCCGGTAGCAATATAATAGGTGCAATATATTGTTACAAAAATGACCCCGTATACGGAATGGAATTTTCAGTAAAAAATTATCGTGCAGATTTAGCCTATATTAGTTGCCCGCAGGAATCGTTGGTAGACGCGAAACGTAGCGCGGTAAGAATCACCATAAAAGTAAATTGAAAATGCATTCGATTGCTTTGCATATTGCTTTCTTTTTTGTGCTGCGTCAGCTGGTGCACAGTGGTTTGAGTGGCGGTACCAGACAAACTTGCGCAGCAGAACTGGGGTATCGACGGTTTTGCATACAATCGAATAGGGTTACCAGACTGTTTTGCATGCGTATGATGTTGGCCCCACTGACAGTTTGGCTCGTTCATGTAAACGCACAATAACAGATATTTCGTGTCCCACCAATGAGGCTTCGTCGCACATTTCCATCGGCGCGACTCGGGTTGACCCCGCTGCTACAGTGATTGACACCAAGAAGTAGGCCGACTCGGGTTGACACGCATGAGCAGTTGGTGTCAAAACTACGAACAAGATCTGAGGCAGTCCTCAGGGGCCTTGTGATTGGTTGGACTTCAATACAGAACCTCCTCCCCACACCGCGACTGAATTCAACCAACTTGGAACCAGCAAAATGGTTTCTCCCAGACCTCAAACGCCAACAGAAGGCTACCCTTCAGTACCCATGATTTCTACAACTCATGAGTTTCGCTGAACTGAACTTCTAGATTCTGTTCAAGTCATGCCTCTTCGTACTCTGTGTGAACAATCGCTGAAGTGCCGAGTCAAGTGCTGTTACGTCCCCAACTCCCTCCACCAGCACTTATATGATTTAGAGGCAATTTTTTTTAGCGGATAATTTGTGGGAACTTGGTAGTGTGGAGACACTTTCTTTTTGCTCTGGGCTTTGTTTCAAGAAGACAGTGAACTGACAGTTACAGGCTCACAGTGCATCGCAGTTTCTCTTTCAGCAAATTCCGTAGATGACGACTCTGTACATAGGTGCCTTGAGGCCTTGAATCCACGAGTTTAGCTAGCACGAACGACGGACGGACGCCATGGTTTTTTGTTTAGATGGTCCAGCTACAGTTCGGCAACAAGTGTACAGTATCACTCTTCAAACTTTCGGTTCCGAAACACTCCCTCCCCCGACTCGATCCATCCATACGTACATCCTCCCGCAGGGGACGCATGCCACAAACAACAAAGAAATGGTCTTGGGAACATCGAATGGGTGGGATGGGATGCTCGATCGGATGGCGTAATTCTGAGAAAGGATGCCCTTCCCCAGCAGGCATCGCATGATCATTACGACATGTGGTGGTGGAACGAGCTCCAGGAGACTATTTTCGTTTTGATCGACCCCTTCTCGTGGCTCACGAAATGTGTTTCTTTTCTTCTTTTTTTTCGTGGTGCGTTTCAAGCGACACAACTGGACGCCTATTATTTTATTTCAGAGCGCGACTGCGGGGTCGGATTAGATCGGATCGCAAAGCTTCGTCGACCACTCCCTGTTCCGAGCCTTTCCCCCAAAAGCCTGGGATGCTTCGTCGTTTACAGTTCAGGCGGAACGAGAGCGGAACGTCTGATCTTTCGTTATCACGAAAGCAGCAAGGATTTAGCAGCACCGACCTGACAGCAAGAACCGTCGATAGCAGCAAGACGAGTTCTCCACTGTGGCTTCTACAGCGGCGACGCGTCGCGGTGTCGCGCGCAAACGTAGGCGGCGCAGTCGCAAGATCGCTCTTCCCTCGCTTCCCCCTCGGCATGCAGTAGCGCGGCGACCGTCTGAAGCTTCTTTCCTATCGTTCTCACGATGGTGCGAGCTTTTGGCAGAGCGGCATCGCCGCACGGCGCCGCGAAGCCTTCCTCAAGCACCAGCATCCTCCCGCTAATCACCGCCGGCCACGTTTCCTCCATCTGGCACGACATCGTTCTCATTCCGCCTGCCCCCGTTGCGCCGGCGCGTGCCCATTCCCCTTCCGGAATCTCCGCGCGGCGCCATAATCAGCATAGTCATCGTCGCAACCATGATGACAATCACCTTCATCGTCATGATCCGGCGGCGGCGGCGGCGGCGGCGCTCTCAACCTCCACCTTCACGTTTGTCTGCCGCTCCGCCGCTTCCCGTTCCGCCGAGTCGCCCTCCGCCGCCCCCGGGGACGGCGGCGGCGGCGGCGGGAGGCGGCAGAAGGACGACCCTCTGCGAAAGACGTTCCGCGAAAAGCGGAAGGTATTGGCGCTGGACGGCAGTCTTAAAGTGCAAGCCGACGCGCCGTCGTCATCCTCGGAGTCCAAATCGGCCGAGTCGCTGCTGCTGGCGGCGCCGTGGAACATGGGCATCCTGCCGCAGACATGCGTTCTCGCACCGCGATCCATGTCGATGTTTTTCCACTGGGGTGTTGACGAAGATCCAGCTGAAGCGAGAGAAAGAGAACGCAGAAATGCTCTTATCGGGGATAACGGTGATGACGGATTGGGCGGTGGGGATTCTGCGAAGGATTTCAAGGATTCGCTTGTAACGGCGTGCGACAACTCGCCGCTTGAAGCGCTGGAAATTGGGTCGCACGCGCGCGAACCTGGCGACGTGTACGACGTTTTGCCGCTGCTGGCGATGCCCTTGCGACTGATGGGGGCGGAGCGAAACAGCATGCCGATTTCGTGGAGGATTGTAACGATCGCAGCGGACGACGAGCTCGTGACAAGCGGGAAGCTAAAAACTTTTATCCGTAGCCGATTGGACGAAGTGCGAGATTGGGCCGAAAAAACAGAGTTTAACAGCGAAATAGCAGGAGCAGGTACAACCTCCCCCAGAAAACACCGTCCGCCCTCTTCAAACCTCACAGATCCTAATTTACCATCTCAAATCCACCCTAACTCGCCTCCCTTTGTGCGTGTGTGTGTGCTTTTTTTTTTTTCTCCTTTATTTTTTTTTTTTTGTTCTCGCGTGGTCCTTCCTTCTGTTTACATCCCGCTTGTACTTCTTTTATATCACAACTTTTTTTTTTTCCGTTACTCTTGGTGTACAGGTCGAGCTGTCAACAAATGCGCCAAACTTATCCCCTCTTTCTCATTCGTCGAAAGGCGTCCCGCCGCCGGCGCTGCGGTTCCGGGGGAGCGCGCTGATTCCAAATCGGGTTCCGCGGAGGGCGGGGAGAAGCAGGCGGAGCAGCAACACGAAGTGGAGGAGTGCATTTGGGAGGCTAAGAACACGTGGAAGAATCGAAAAGCGAGACGACGGATAGATCCCGCCGCGCAGAGAGCGGCGCAAGCGGCGGCGGAAGCGGCGGAAGCTGCGGCGGAAGCAGCGGCGCAAGCAGCGGCGGAAGCGGCGGCGGAGGCGGAGCAAACAATCCGTTACGCGCACCGCACGTGGCGGATCCTCTGCCACTCGCTGCGCCGCCCCGTGCTGCGGCGCATCGCGCATGTACAGGAGAGCCATGGGCGGGAGCGCGCGGAGGCGGCGCAAGCGGCTGTTAGAGCGCTGGAGAAGAAGCAGGAGCGGAAATCACCCAAGGAGCACGAGAGAGGAGGTGTGAGCAGCAGCAGTGGCAGCAGCAAGGGCGCGCCTGTTGCGGCTTCTGCTGCGTTCTCGGCTGCGTTTAAGTCTGCTCACGACCGGCCTCGCAAGCACTCTCATGCTCACGCGCACGCGCTCACACTCGCGCTCACGCACCCACGGCCGTTGTCAGCGTCTCTCACTGCTGCTGCTGCTGCTGTTGCTGGTATTGACCAGTCCCCGCAGGAGCACGCACACTCGCACGATCACTCACTCTCACGGCCGTTGTCAGCTTCTCTCACTGCTGCTGCCGCTGTTGTTGCTGGTACTGACGAGTCCTCTCGAGAGCAGCAGGGTCACGCGCAGGAGACTCATAGCGAGTCGCATAACGAGTCTAATAACCAGTCTTATACCGAATCTCGTGACGAGTCTCATAACGAGTCCCAAAAGGAGCCTCATAAGGACTCTCGTGAGACTTCTTTGAACGAGTCGCGTAAAAGTTTACACAAGGCCTCTCTCGCGGATTCTCCTCATCACCAGTCCCAAAACAAGTGGTTTCAGAAGCATTCTCACAAGGAGTCTAACGAAGATTTTCCTCATTCTCCTCACGAGTCCCGCAAATGGTTCCACAAGCATTCCCATGAGTCTCATGCGAATTCCTCTCACTCTCCTCACGAGTCCCACAGGTGGTTTCACAAGCATTCCCACAGGGACTCTCATTCGGAGTCTCCTCATTCTCATCACGAGTCCCATAAGCGGTTCCAGAAGCATTCGCATAGGGTCTTTTTCGAAGTGTCTCATAACGAGTCCCACAAGTCGCCTCATAAGGAGTCTTTTAAGGAGGGCCAGGTGAACCAACTATTCAAGCGAATCCATCCCTCCCCATCCGCGGGGGACCTCGGAACCACCACCAGCAGCAGCGCCGCGTGGAGATTAATCGCCCCTCCTGAAAGCTATGGCCTTCCGGGGCTCATCACCCCTAGAGGCGGCGACGTTCTAGGGGGGAGCGGAGGAAGGGGAGGGCGACGAGGGGAACGAGGAGGGGAAAGAAGAGAAGGGTGGAGCGAGGGGAGCAGCATGCGCAGGCAGAGACACAGCTGCACGGATCTCACGGACCTTGCATCTTTTGAGAATTCTCAAAAGGGGGAGGGGGAGCAGCACGACTGGTTGAACAGCCCTGGTCTCGCTGGGTTCAAGGAGTATTTAACTGGTTCACACGCAGGGGGGTCGCTGCATGGGACCGGTAGAAGAAGCGGGCTTCGAGTTTCCATGGGGGAGAGACCCGTGGGGTATGAGGGGTATGAGAGGGATGAGAAGCATGAGTGGTTGCGCAGTTCTTCTGCTGGGCAGGGGATTCTTATTGCTGCCCGGGAGGCTGTGGAAGGGGCGAAGGGCGTGGCTGATAAGGTAGCAGGCGTTGCTGCTAAGCGCATTGCCGTGGCAGGAGCTGTAGCGGGGACTGTAGCGGGGACGGTAGCGGGGACTGTAGCAGGGACTGTAGCGGGGACAGCAGAGCACGTGGCTGGGAATGTGGCAGGGGCGGCAGGAGTGGTGGCTGGGAAAGTGACTGGCGCGGCAGGCGTGGTGGGAGGTTCGGTGACCGGGGCTGCTGGTAAGGTAGCCGGGGCTGCAGGTACGGTAGCAGGAACGGTAGCCGGGGCTGCAGGCACGGTAGCAGGTACGGTAGCTGGGGCCGCAGGTACGGTGGCGGGTACGGTAGCTGGGGCCGCAGGTACGGTAGCAGGTACGGTAGCCGGAGCTGCAGGTACGGTAGCCGGGGCCGCAGGCTCGGTAGCAGGCACGGTGGCGAGTTTACCCAGAGACGCGGTGGGGGCCTTGTCTCGCAGAGTGCGAAGTATAGGCGCGGGAGGGAAGGCGATGAGTGCGCGTGTGCGCAGGGGAGCAGAGGCTCGGATCGAAGCTGCGCAGAGTACGGTGAAATCTGTGAGTGCGAGAGTGCAACGGGGCGCCGGGGCTAGCTTTGGAGTGGCTCGGCATGCTGTTGAGGAGAGGCTCGGGATGGGCCGGCATGGTTCGGAAGAGAGGCTCGGGATGGATCGGCATGGTTCGGAGGAGAGCCTCGGGATGGGCCAGCATGGTTCGGAGGAGAGGCTCGGAGTGGATTGGCATGGTCCGGAGTGTGGGAGTGCAGTGTTTGAGTCGTTTGATATGGTGGGTGAAAATAGTTCGGAGGGAGGGAGTGAAGCACTAGAGTCGTTTGAAAGGGGTGGTGAAGCTGGTTCGGAGGGTGGAAGTTTGGTGCTAGAAGTGTTTGATAGAGCGGTTGAAAATGGTTCGGAGGGTGGGGCTGTGGTGCTGGAATCGTTCGAAAGGGCGGGTGAAGCTGGTTCGGAGAGTGGGAGTGTGCAAGGGATGCCACAAACAGAGGCAAATCCTGGCGCAGCGGAAAGTTCTGGTGCAGAGGCGATCGGAGCGGTTCAAAGCGGTGTGGAGGAGTCTAGTAGTGTGCGGGTGCGGAGAGAAGGCTCAGGAGCCTGTTCTGATATGGAGGCGTCTCAGCGGAGTGAGGGTGCAGCGAGTAGTGACTCGCCTGAACGCGAGTTGGAAAGCAGGAGTGCGGGAGTGCAGAACGGTGCAGAGGAGTGCAGCAGTGTGAGATTGAGGCGAGGAAGCTCAGGGGCGCATCCTAATCTGGATGCGTCTCAGCGGAGTGAGGGTGTCGCGAGTGCGGGAGTGCAGAACGGTGCAGAGGAGTGTAGCAGTGTGAGAGTGGGGCGTGGAGGCTCAGGGGCGCATTCACATTTGGAGGCGACTCAGCGGAGTGAGGGTGTGGCGAATATTGAGTCGCCCAAAAGAGAAGTGGAGAGCAAGAGGGGGGGAGTGCAGAGCGGTGCGGAGGAGTCTACGAGTGTGGGAGATTTGAGAGGCGGCTCAGGGGCGCATTCTAATCTTGATGCCTCTCAGCGGAGTGAGGGTGTCGCGAGTAGGGACTCGCCAGAACGCGAGGTGGAGAGAGAGAGTGGGGGAGTGCAGAGCGGTGCAGAGGCGTATTCCGAGGCACCTGGGAACGAGGCGAGTAGCGGGAGTGGGGGAATGGGAGGAGGGGGGCCAAGGGAACACAAGGGATTTTCAGGGCAACGTGCGGAAAGTTCGAGGCAACACGAAGAAGAAAGTCTGATGCAGCGCGAGGAAAGGTTGAGGCAACTTGAGGAAAGCCTGAGACAGCGCGAGGAAAGTCTGCGGCAACAGGAGGAAAGCTTGAAGCAACGATTTGCCAAGTCCAAGAGTAGGAAAGGCAAAGGAAGGATTGGGGAAAGTAAAAGGTTGGGGGTTGAAGAACTTGAAAGGTTTGTTGTTTCTGAGTCTGAAGAAAGCAGAAGAAGCGGAAAGGGCAGAGGAAGGGGAGGGAGCAAGAAGGGCGAAGGGAACGGAGAAGTTGGAGGGTTGGTTGTTTCTGAGTCTGAAGAAAGCAGATTGAGCGGAAAGGGCAGAGGAAATGGAAGGCTCAAGAAGGGCAGAGGAGGCGGAGGGAGTGGAGAGATTGGAGGGCTGGTTGAGTCTGAGTCGGAAGGAAGCAGAAGGAGCGGAAAGGGCGGTGGGGGCGGAGGGAGCAAGAAGGGCAAAGGGGACGGAAGGAGAGGGAGCGGAGGAAGTGAAAGGTTGGTTGTTTCTGAGTCTGAAGAAAGCAGAAGGAGCGGAAAGGGCAGAGGAAGGGGAGGGAGCAAGAAAGGCGAAGGGGAGGGAAGGAATGGAGGGGGTGGAGAAAGTGGGAGGCTAGTTGTTTCTGAATCGGAAGATAGCAGAATCAGCGGAAAGGGCAGAGCAAGCAGAGGGAGCGGAGGTAGCAAAAACGGGAAAGAAAGTGGAAGGAGCGGAGTGAGTGGAGGGGGTGGAAAATGGGGTGCTTCTGAGTCTGCTTCTGAGGAGGGTGGAAGCGAAAGGAAAGAGGGGAAGGGAGGAGGTGAGGAGGAGGGGGAAGTGAGCAGTCGCAGTCCCAAGGGCAAAACCCTCACTATAAGCACAAAGCACCGTAAAAGAGACCGTCTTGATAAAATGGCAGTGAGCCCTCCCCTTTCCACACCAGTAGCCTCTCCTCCTCTCTCCCCCTCTTCCGTCTCACCTCCTCATACTCCTCCTCTTCACTCCGCTCCTCTCCTTCCCTCTCACTCCCTCACTCTCTCTTCCACCTCTAGCTCGAGTGCCCTGTTGACTTTTGAGTCGACTCAAAAGTCTCCTCTCCTTCCCTCTCACTCCCTCACCCTCTCCTCCACCTCTAGCTCTGGTGCCTTGTATGACCATTTAGCTGTGTCCTCTTGTGAGTCGACTCAAAAGTCAGCTGGAGCAGGAGCAGGAGCAGAGGCAGGAGCAGGAGGGGCAACTGTAGGAGCAGGAGCTAAAGCAGCAGCAGGAGAGGCAACTGTAGGAGGAGGAGAAAAAGCAGCAGCAGGAGAGGCAACTGTAGGAGGAGGAGCTAAAGCAGCAGCAGGAGAAAAGGCTCCAAGACGAGCAAAATCAGCAGGAGGAGTTCAAGCAGCAGTGGGAGGAAAAACAGCAGCAGGGAAAGCTAAAGCAGCAGGAGCAAAAGCAGCAGCAGGAGGAGAAAAGGCAGAAGCAGCAGCAGGAGGAGGAGGAGGAGGAGCAGGGGACGCTAGAAGCAGAGGGAGCAAAGGCAGCAAAAAGAGCAAAAGCAGCGAAAGGAGCAAAAGCAGCGAAAGGAGCAAAGGCAGAAGCAGCAGCAGAAGGAGCGGGGGGAGGAGCAGCAGGAGCGGGGGAAGGGGCAGCAGGCGTGGGGGAAGGGGCCGTGGTCGCAGTAGTAAAGAGGACTGCAAGCAAAAAGCAGACGAAAGCATTGCGTCGTGTGGCAAAAAGCACGGAAGGTGAAGCAAGCACAGCTGCACCTGCTGCACCTGCTGCACCTGCTGCACCTGCTGCACTTGCTCCTGCTGATGCAACTGCAACCTTTTCTCCTGCTGAAGCGACTGCAACCTTTGCTCTTTCTGATGCTCCAGCAACGTCTTCTCCTACTGCTTCACCTACAGCATCTGCTCCTACTGCTTCACCTACAGCACTTGCTCCTACCGCTGCGCCTGCTGCGTGTGCTCCTGCTGCCGCACCTGATGCTGATGGGACAGCGGTGTGTATGAGCGGAGATGCCACCGCACCTGCAGCTGATGTGTGTTTGAGCGGAGATGCCACCGCACCTGCAGCTGATGTGTGTTTGAGCGGAGATATCACCGCACCTGCAGCTGATGTGTGTTTGAGCGGAGATGCCACCGCACCTGCAGCTGATGTGTGTTTGAGCGGAGATGCCACCGCACCTGCAGCTGATGTGTGTTTGAGCGGAGATGCCACTGCACCTGCAGCTGATGTGTGTTTGAGCGGAGATGCCACCGCACCTGCAGCTGATGTGTGTTTGAGCGGAGATGCCACCGCACCTGCTGATGCACCTGCACTTGAAGGGGCAGCGCCGCAAGAGTTTGAAACTCCTGCTCGTATTACTCCTGCTCATACTGCTCCTGCTGATACTGCTCCTGCTGATAAAAGGGCAACAGAACGAAAGAGTGGGATTAAAGCTGCTGCACCTGCTGCTGTTGCGCCTTCTGTTGTCGCACATGCTGCTCCTGCTGCTGCGCTTGCTGCTCCTGCTGCTGCGCTTGCTGCTCCTGCTGCTGCGCTTGCTGCTCCTGCTGCTGCGCCTGCTGCTCCTGCTGCTGCGCCTGCTGCTCCTGCTGCTGGCGATGTCAGTCATGCTGCAGCGCTATCTGTTGGCAGTGCCCGACTTTCTTCCAAGCCTTCATGGAAGTGTATTCCATCCTTCGGACCATGCGTTACTTGTTTTAGTTTCGACAAAAAGACCCTAGCCGAGATTGCAGATGATTCGCCAGTGGATATTCTGGGCAGACTGGAGGAAACGGGTATGGCAAGGTGAAATTGTAGAATTCGTCTGCTTAATGTTTTCATAGTATAGTATCGTAATAATGTTTCTGGTGTACCTTTAGAAAGTCTTCCCAGGTGTATTACGTATTCTATCAAACATCTTGGAGTTCACTGCAGTGCAGACCACGTCTTGTGTGAACTCGAATCATCCCACAGCGAGCCCAATCACGTGATCAGTAAGAAAAATCCACGATTTCGCAACACGACAAGGGTTCGCTCCCACGTAGGACGTTATGTCAAACTATAATGATGCTTATGTTTTGTAGGCTGTAGTGGGGTAGCCCATAAGGGGTACAACCCAATTAGGGTTAGTACTTGTACCCAGATCTGTTCTCAATGCACCATTCTTGTTCAGTAATTCTGACATGGTATCAGAGCAGGTCCTGTTCCAGGACCGTCTTCAGGGCTGTCAGAGTTATATTACTGTAACTGCATGTAGATATAGCAGTAGTGTAGTTATCACATTCTGTTTGGTGGATTACCCCCTTTCCTATCATATTTGTACCCTTGACTCTATAGTGAAGTCCTCTTTCATTGCCAACTCCCTCGACACTCTACCTCCTAGCATGGCTCCTAAGACTAAACCCTAGCAACCTATCTTGACATGGTTTCAGAGCTGGTTCTTTCCTAGAACCTTCATTTTTTTTTCAGAAACATGGGCCCGCCCTTAATGCAGCGCGAAATGCGCTATTTTCTTCGTCCCGTCGCGCCCTGCGCCCGTCTGATTCGTCGCCCCGCGGCCCCCCATTTCGTCGCCCCGCGGCCCCCCATTTCGTCGCCCCGCGGCCCCCGATTCGTCGCCCCGCGGCCCCCCGTTTCGTCGCCCCGCGGCCCCCCCCGTTTCGTCGCCCCGCGGCCACCCGTTTCGACGCGCCGGGGCCCCCCGTTTCGTCGCCGCGGACGCCAGCGCCGGCGGGCGCCAGCACCAGCACAAGCACCAGCGACGAGCGCCAGCGCCGGGGCCGGCTCCCAGTGCCAGCAGCCCACGCCAGCGCCGGCAGCGGGTGATTCCGCCCTTCCCACCTGCCCTCCCTTCCGTCGTGGAGGGGGGGGGGGGGTTGGGGGGGGGGGCGGGTGTGAGGAGCCTGCCGCTCCTCCCTCCCTTCCCTCTTCCTCTCTCCCTGCAGCACTTGTTGCTGTGGGGGGGGGGGGGGGGGAGAGAGGGTAAGGGGGGATGAGGGAGGGTATGAGAGAGAGTGGCAGAAGCAGCAGCCCTGCATTTGCAACTGCCACCCCCTGCTACTGTGGCACCTCCAGCTGCAGCCCCTGTTGCCACTTAATTCGTCTCTTTCGTTTGCTGCTGTTGAGCGGCAGGTGCTGCCGTTGAGCCTGCTGTGCCGCCGCTCGTTGCCGCCGCACGCCGCTCTCCAGGCGACCTGCGCCACATGCACCTTTCTTTCGTTTCTGTATTGGCTAAGGGGTTTCTGCAGTTGTTTCTGCCACTGCTGCACTGGTTGTCATTGCTCTTGCGTGCTAATGCTTTCAGTACACTTGCAGGTTGTGATTTATGCTTTGCTATTCCTGCATGCAGTTAAGGGGGAATGTCAGAGTTATATTACTGTAACTGCATGTAGATATAGCAGTAGTGTAGTTATCACATTCTGTTTGGTGGATTACCCCCTTTCCTATCATATTTGTACCCTTGACTCTATAGTGAAGTCCTCTTTCATTGCCAACTCCCTCGACACTCTACCTCCTAGCATGGCTCCTAAGACTAAACCCTAGCAACCTATCTTGACAAGGGCCCACAGAATCGTACCCTGCCCCACCAGTCGCGCTGCATTGCCCTGCCCTGCCCTGCGTAGCGCTGCCCGGGTACGCCCTGCCCTGCCCTGCGTTGCGCCGCCCCGCGCACGCCCTGCCTGCGTCGCGCCGCCCGCGCACGCCCTGCCCTGCGTCGCGCCGCCCCGCGCACGCCCTGCCTGCGTCGCGCTGCCCGCGCACGCTTTGCCCTGCGTCGCGCCGCCCCGCGCACGCCCTGCCTGCATCGCGCCGCGCGCGTACGCCCTACCCTGCCCGTCGCGCCGCCCGCGCACCCCCTGCCCTGCGTCGCGCTGCCCGCGCCCGCCTTCCCCTGCGTCGCGCCGCCCGCACACGCCCTGCCCTGCGTCGCGCAGCCCGCCCGCGCCCTGCCCTGCCCGCGCGCCGCCTTGCTGGCCGCGCGCTGCCCTTTTCCTGCCCGCGCGCTGCCCTGCTAGCCGCGCGCCGCCCTTTCCTGCCCGCGCGATACCCTGCAGGCTGCCGCGCTGCCCTGCCCTGCCCTACGCGCCGCTCTTCCCTGACTGTGCGCCGCCCTGCCCGGCCCTGCGCGCCTCCCTATTGCACGCGCGCTGCCCTGTCCGTCGCGCCACCC